CGGGGGTGGGGGTGGGGGGTGGGGTGTAAATTCGCACTTTCTATCTCTCTGTCTCTCCAGTGAGCACATGCACCCTACAGCAAAAATCTCTCAAAAAAACAAACAAACAAACAAACAAAAAAAAAACCACTCAAATAGGAATAAAACCAGATACAGCACTGACTCCAGCCTGCTAAAAATGATTGTAGTCTGTATGTCCACAAATTCAGAGTTTAAGCTAAATCAGGGTACTGGTGCTAAGAGGAATGAACTATCTTCAAAATTTCCAAAATTCTTTTGAATTTTAATGGATGCTTTAACATGTGTCCCAGAGTCAGCCAGGGTAGAATTTCGATCCCAAGTTCTTCACATTCCATCTGACTTTGGTAAAGATGTTTAGTCTCTTTGAGGCTCAGTTTTTCATCTACAAAATGAGCATCATAATAGTTATTCAGCTTGGAAAACTACTGAAATAATTCACAATTATGTGTATTAAACTTACAATTTGGACACTACAACTGATGGTTGTTGATAATACTAACAATATTAGTCACATCATTTCCATTTCATTTAATATTATAAAATTCTCATAGCTCTAGGTATATGAAAGGTCTTCAAAAGGTTCATAGCAAATACATCTTATGAATAACTATGAATGGATTTCAAAACTTTTTGCACCAGGTGAGGTGGGGTTAAGAAAGCTGGATCCTTCATGGTTGACTCCATGGTTTGAGTTCTGAATCTAGCAGCTTGAGAAATGCTCATATATGCCCAGAATTAAGAAAAGGAGGGAGAAATGGAGGAAGGGGGATTGTTGCATTCCCCCCCCCATGGGAGATGCTCTCTCTCTTTCTCTCTCTCTGTCTTTCTAGTTCTATCTCTCTTTGGTGAGTACACATAACCTCTGGCAATTTTTTTAAAAATTTTACAACAAAATAAACTTGTACTTCAACTCTATTTTCTACAAACCTTTATTATTTTTTTTTTTTTGAGAGAGATTTTTACTACAGGGCACATGACCTCACTGGAAAGAAAGAGAGACAGAAAGCAAGAAATCATCCCCCAGTGGAGATGGCCACACCTCAATCCCTTCTCCTCTATTCTCCTTTCAGAATCTTGGGCATGCACCAATATGCACCCAGCATGAGTTTTAAATCACTAAGTCTGGGGACTTGAACTGCAGTCAACTACATGGGAGTCTAGCGACGTAACCATGACACCATTTGCTGGTCCCTCTACAAACTTTTTGAAGTCCCTTTGTATGATATATTAGTGAAGTACTACTCTATTTAAAGAAAATTTGCCCTTTTGAAGTTGGAAGACTTTCCAAGAAGTGCTACTTACGGGTTTTTAATTTGAGATCTCAAGAAAACAGTATTGTTAAGCAAGTAGCTCAGGGCAGTATATCCTGACACAGCAAGGTAAAACATCCAGTCACTCCACTACACCCCTCTGAGGAGCTATGGATGAGCCAACTAGTCAACCTCTGACATCCCTGCATCCCAGCCAGGCCTCTAAGGAAGCAGGTGCCTGATGGGGTGGTATGTTGATTAGGTACACAAGAATGTTCCAGTGAGCCTGACCCACAGGGACAGAAGAAGGGATCTGAAACAGGATCACAGCATCCAGTAATGATTCCAGTGACATGTTTTATGTTTCAACTTCTAGGACAAGCATGACTTTCAGGACTCAGTCAGAATAACTTTGGATTTTAATCTTACCAATCCAGAAACTGGGCCTGTTCTTGATGATGCTCTGCCAAACTCGGTACATGAAAATGTAAGTCAGAATTTTTTTTAAATTCAGAATACCTGCTTGTGAATATATATATAGGGAAAAAACTTGAAGCACATGAACACATAACCCTTAATAAATGATATTAAAAAAAAAAAAGATTTTTCCCAACCCTTCTAACTTCTATTGTTAGAGTTTAAGAGCCCTAATAAATTACACCCATTTATACTTCAGTTGTATTCATAACCAACTGCAAGAAATCTCTCCTTTTATTCTAATAAACACTGGGCTTCAGAAGATGGCTTAGGTATACTTGTGGTTCTCATGTTGAGCCAGAGACTTCGACCTCAGATAGCCAACTAGCTCACCTGCGGAGTTGATCCATCCGACCTCCTCGTAACACTTGCAAAATGGTCTAGAGCCAAGAAGAGCCTGCTTCCTGTGGGCACACTGCTGCCCCAAGAGCAGAAGAGATCAGAATAAAGTGAGTTGTGTTCACTGTGTCTGCTTCCAAATTGAACCCACTGTTCCAGTCCCAACAGGGAGTGAGAAGAAGAAAGTGTGCTGTCATGAATGCACTAAAAGAAGAAACATTAGGGTGGAGGAGTTCATTTTCCTCATACACACATCTTCCATTCTCCTTTCCTTGCTTTCAAATATATTTATTGTCTTGTATGTATCGAATGTTGGAGCTTATGATCTAACCGAGGAAACAAGTACTAAGTAACTACATTATATGCTCTAGAGAGCTTCAGGCCTCTACAGGATCTTTCACAGAGGCTGGGGAGTCCAAGAGAAGCCCTCTGAAGTTGTGACCCTAAAGTCAACACCTGAAGGACAGGATGACTTTCCATCCTACTTAAGGAGATAGAGCAGGGGACATAATATGGCTGGAGGCCTGAGACAAACAACGAACAAAACTACACTGATGGGCTAAAGCTAAAGAGCAAGGGAAGGTGACATGAAATGGGCTGGAAGACAGGGGACAGACCGTTCAGAATGTGATGCCACTGCACAGATTTTAAACGTTTTAAACAGCAACGCAGTGCTATTGAAGGTTGCAGTTTGGTTCAGTGATGGGATGTGCTAAAAGATTGCTTCGCTACCATATGGGAAAGGAAGAAAGAACTCAAGTGGATGCAAGAAATGAGCTGGGAGGAAATAAGGGTGTTTACGTTAAAGATGATGGTGGAAATGCAGAGATACGAAAGAGTTTGGAGGAAGTTTAGAAGAGGGATAGAATGGACAATGCTTGGAGATGAATTGGATAAGGGAGGAGGGGCTCAATGAAAAGAGGAATCAATGAAAACTCCCAGATATGTGGCTTGACTGTCTTCTACCATCTTGACTGAACTGTATTGCATTCCTAAGTATTTGATTATTTTTAATAGAAAAATCTCATAGTTGGAGTTCAGTACATTCAGATCTTAGAGTACTTGACTATTCTCTGCCAGACTAAAGTCAGTGAAAAACATTTGTGAAAACTGTATATTTTTAAAAGGACTAGAACAATTCATATTCATAAGTTAGTCATTATTCTTTTCCTCTATATAGGAATCAATATATAAGATTTCTGAAGATTTTCACAGTACAAGCAATTTTCTTATTTTCTTAATCTATTTTGGCACAATGTTATTTCTGTTGCACAAATTAACAGGTAACTTTCAATAATACTTAAATATATTTTGAGAAATGCATTTCTGTGACCATTTCAGATTCCCTTTGCAAAAGATTGTGGAAACAAGGAAAAATGTATCTCAGACCTCGCTCTGGATGTAACCACCACAGAAAAGCAACTGCTTATCGTCAAATCCCAGAATGATAAGCTCAACGTTAGTCTCACGGTCAAAAATAAAAAGGACAGTGCCTATAACACCAGGACAATTGTGCATTATTCTCCAAATCTCATTTTTTCAGGGATAGAGGTAAACTTCTATTTTTTCATCCATTTATTCTCATAACAATCATTTATTGAACCTACTTTTAATTTTCCTGAGGAAGTTGCTTTTACTATTGGTTTTACAAGGACAAAAGGCATTTCGTACAAAAATGGTATTTACTAATGGTGGAAGTGCAAAGCTTTTTAAACTAACTTTTGCTTTAGTTCTTTACAGATGTCTGTCTCTTCTTACATTCAGTACAAGGAAAGGATGGCCAATATATCAAAATTGTATGCTTCACAGAGTTCATAAACCATCAAAATTGAGACAGAGTAAAGTGAAAAAATAAATACCATAGTCAAAGCCAAAATAGTTTGTTAACAGAATGGAAAGTCAGTGCTGGGCAAACATAAGAAAATTTACATGTATAAAAATTGGATACCATTTCTCTTTTTCTGTGTAAAATCTTTACTTTGACAAGAGACTTGTATTAAATGACTATGTCTTATTGATTCATAACAGAAAGTTTTAAAAATTATTTTGGCAATAATATATATCTACATAAGATGCATATCAGGAGTAGTGTGTTCTCAAATTTGAACTTTGTTTTTAATTCCAAAATTATGGCTCTCCCTGAGTTAAAATTCTGGATATAGTCATATGAATTAATAATATATAAGATTCATTGTAAAACCAATACATTGATTATAATTGCATTAAAACACTATTTTTAAGTTTCCATAAATTTATATTTTCACTAATATTCCTCTCCATTAGTTAGGATCACCTAATGACATGATAACAATGACAGGCTTGAAAAAATACCATATAACATATCTTGGATTCAATTAAGAATATTAGTTATAAATGAAAATATGCAAGGTAATGTTGGGAAAATATTACCACTGAATTTTTCTCTGGAAAGGGTAATATATTAAAAGTCATTGCCCATATCCTTTTCAGCTGACCTAATGACCATAGAAAGAGGCAGAGCCATAAAAAGCAACAGTACATCTTCTCTACTGATGTTAACAGTAACGACAACAATAATGATAGCAACCCCTTCTTGGCTCATACTATAGGCTAAGCCCTATTCTAAGGATTTCATTTGCTTGATTCTCATTCACTTTTTTGTAAGTAGATGTTATGGTACTACAGAGATTCAAAGATTAAATCTCTTTTTCACATTCTAAGATTTTTTTATTGCATTTCAGACTCAATAGCTTGCTTATTGAACTAGAAACATTATTTTTCCTTCTTATTAGGATATGAAATAATGTATCTCATACTCAATGGCATTTTTTAAGTTTGATGAACTAAATTATGACTAAACTCACTTATAGAAAATCAGGACCAGAGAGGTGAGGAATGTTGGCAAGGATAAAGCCAACAATGGTGGCATCAAGATTTAAATCCTAGTAATCACAGGTCAGTGTCCATGCCATCGGACATTGTGCTCAACTTCTCTAATGACTCACGTTCACTGTGAGATATTCTGTGCCAGTCTTGGATGTGTGTATTACTTCATCCAGCCACCACAGTCACCCAGAGGTAGGTGCTGTTAGTACTCCCATTTTACAGCTGAGGACTTAGGCAGCACAGTGAGATGTGCCTTGTCTTTCACACACTCTCCAGTGATGTTTCCAGATATCCATAGGCTGTGAAAAAGGTAGTCCCAGAATGCTGTGGCTCTTCCAGATAAACTGAGAAGCAAATCTTGGCAAGCTAGTCACCAAGGCATGGCTGGATAAATTATAAAACAACAGTTTCAAGTCTTTCACTTGCTTGTCTGCTCTGTTTACTTTCTCTTCCTAGGCTATCCAAAAAGACAGTTGTGAATCCAATCATAATATCACATGTAGAGTTGGATATCCTTTCCTGAGAAGAGGAGAAATGGTGAGCAGATGATATAAAATACATGTGGCACTTTGATAAGAAAAATAATATGCTTCAAGTTAAAAGCCAAAAGATATAAAACCTTCTAATGATAGTTCAAGATGATATAGACGTAAAAGACTGAGTTCAACATTTTTATAGCTTGCAATCTAGCATGGTTTAAATATTTTTGTCCTTGAAAAATTTGTACATTGAAACTTAGTCCCCAGTGTGATAGTATTATATTTGTAAGGGACAAATACCCTCATAAAAGAGGCCTGAAGGATTTTGTTCACCCCTTCCACCATGCAAGGACACACAGCAGGTGCAATTAAGAGAAACGGGCCCTCACCAGACACTGTATCTTGATCTTGGAATTCCTAGCCTTCAGAACTGTAAGCAATAAATTTCTAGTGTTACAAAGCCATAACAGATTAAGACAGAATGAAAAACCAATTACTTCACTCGTTAAATTCAAATATCAAGACAAAATTTGTACTAGATAAATGGCTGCATTTTCCATCCCACCAGCAATGAATGAGGGTGACAATTTCTCCACAGTTATTTCTTGTCTTTCTAAATGTAACTATCCCAGTGAGTTTGAAGTGGTACCTCATTGTGGTTTCAACTAGCATTTTCTAATAGTTTGTGATGTCTTAAGCATTCTTTTATGTTTTTATTGGCTGTATGTATATTGTATTTGAAGAAACATCTTTTTCAATCCTTTACCCATTTTTTAGTTGACTGTTTAATCATGCAATTGTAAGAGATTATCATATACTCTACATTCAAATTCTTTATCAGATACATAGTTTGCAAATATTTTCTCCCATTTTGTAGGTTGTCCTGTCACTTTCTTGGTGGTGTCCTTTGAAGGACAATTTTAATTTGATGCTTCCCAATTTAGGTATTTAATCTTTTGGCACACATTTTTTTGGTGTCATATCTAAGAGGACTTTGCCTAATCTAAAGTAAAGAAAATTTTACTTTATGTTTTCTTCAAGAATTTTATACTTTTAATTCTTATATTTAGGTTTACCATTCATTTTGGTGATTTGCATGTGTGTGTGTGTGTGTGTGTGTGTGTGTGTGTAGTATAAAGAGTCCAACTGTTATTTTTGCATGTGGATATACAGTTGTTCCACACCATTGGAGAGAAGACTTTTTATCTATCCGCCCCATAGAATTGCCTTCGAATTTTTGTTAAAAATCAGTTGACCATAAGCATATAGATTTATTTCTGGACTATCAATTTATTTTATTGATCTGTACACCTATCTCTATGCCAGTACTATATGGTTTTGAATACTATAGTTTTGAGATAAGTTTGAAATGAGTAAATGTAAGTCTGCCAATTATGATTTTTTTTTCAAAATTGTCTTAATATTTCTAGTTCCCTTGTGTTTCCATATGTATTTTGGGATCAGTTTGATTTTTTAAAATTTTTTTAAAATTTATGTATTTATTTATTTATTTGCCAGAGTACATGTGTAGGGAGAGGGAGACAGAAGGGGAGAGAAGGTGAGAAAGCACTCCCCACCTCCATCGGGAATGGTCATGCCATTATCCCTTCTCTTCCATTTCTCCCTCCTTGTAGGATTTTTGGGCATGTATAAATATGTACCCAGTGTTTTTTAAGCCCCTGGGTCCAGGACTCAAGCCACATTGTTGACTGTGTGGAACTCAGCCACAGACTGGCCCCAGCTGTTTATTTTCACTTCTTCTAAAAGCACTCCCCACCTCCATCGGGAATGGTCATGCCATTATCCCTTCTCTTCCATTTCTCCCTCCTTGTAGGATTTTTGGGCATGTATAAATATGTACCCAGTGTTTTTTAAGCCCCTGGGTCCAGGACTCAAGCCACATTGTTGACTGTGTGGAACTCAGCCACAGACTGGCCCCAGCTGTTTATTTTCACTTCTTCTATTTTTTTTTTTGACTGTGTGGAACTCAGCCACAGACTGGCCACAGCTTGTAATTTTCACTTCTTCTATTTTTTTTTTTTTTTAAGAGATTTTGCCTTAGGGTACATGAATTTTCCAGAGAAAGAAAAACAAACAAAAGTGAAAAATTACCTCCCAAGGGGCATGGCCATACTCCAGTCCTCCTGAGATCTTGGGCATGCACGCACACGCGCCCGGCGTGAGTTTTAAGCCACCGGGTCCGGGACGCGAACCGCAGTCGACTATGTGGGAGTCCAGCAATGTAACCATTATGCCATCTTCTGTTCCCAAGCTTGATATTTTCTACATAAAAACCCAGCTACCGGGAACCAGCAGTTAGCGTAATGGCTATGTCGCTGGACTCCCACATAGTCGACTGCGGTTCGCGTCCCGGACCCGGTGGCTTAAAACTCACGCCGGGCGCGTGTGCGTGCATGCCCAAGATCCCAAGAGGAGAATGGAGGAGAAGGGATTGCGGCGTGACCATCCCTCCTGGGGGGTGATTTCTCGCTTTCTGTCTCTCTGTCTCTCTCTGTCTGGCGAGCGCACGCGCCCTATAGCGAAAACCTCTAAAAAAAAAAAAAAAAGAAAACCAGCTACAGTTTGATAAGCATTGTGTTGAATCTGTAGATTGATTTAGGAAATAGTTTCATCTTTAAAAATATTGTGTCTTTTGATTTACCATCATGGGATGTCTTTCTATTCATTTAGATACTTAATTACTTTCAACAATGTTTTCTTATTTTCAGAATAAAAGTTTTGTACTTCCTATGTTAAATTTATTTCTAAGTATTTTATTCCTTTACATGCTATTTCTTAATGATAGAGGACACATGTTCATGTGTAAGCATAAGAGAGAGAAGCCCCCTAATGGAGCCTGGTCATATTGCAATCCTTTTTTCTCTATTTCTCTATCCAGTCAAAGTCTTGAATACGTACACACAGGCCCTGTGTATTTTTCAAACTCCCAGGGCCAGAATTCTAAGTGGTTGGCCAGATGAGATCTGGCTTTCTCCACACAAGGGGCCAGCCATTCATGCTATTTTAGATGGAATAATTTTCTTAAATTTATTTTCATATTGTTTAATGCGATAATACTACTGATTTTTGAGTAGTGATATTTCATACCTGAAGCTTGCTGAAATGATTTATTACCCTGGCTTATGGGGTGAAGAGATGCATATCCCGAGTGAAAGTGGACAGTGGATTAAGAAAGAACACACACAGGAGACACATAAGTAGAGAAGGCGGAGATTGGGCAGACTAGGCATCCCTGAGGGAGAACACTGTGGCCCTGAGCCATTTCCAGGTTTATTTTATATAGAAATGGAGGATGAAGAAGCCAGGTTGTGGCTGGGGAATGTTTTTTGTTTTGTGGTTTTGAACAAGTTTTTCTTGGCCTCTGGTTGACACTCAACTTTTTAAAATCTACACTGCCCTGCAGTTTAACAGTAGATTATGTCTTTGTTTGAGCTTTCATTTGCCATGCAGCATCAGCACAAAGACCATGTCTACTTTAAAGGTGCCTTATCCAGATTTGGCCACTCTCTACAATTTCTTCTTTCTTTTTCCTTTTTTTTTTTTTTTTTTGAGAGAGATTTTTGCTATAGGTCACAAACGCTCACCAGAAAGACAGAGACAGAGAACAGAAAGCAAGAAATCACCCACCAGAAGGGATGGCCATGCCACAATCCCTTCTCCTTCATTCTTCTCTTGGGATATTGGGCACACATGCACACGTGCCTGGTGTGAGTTTAAGCCACTGGGTCTGGGACTGGAACTGTAGTCGACTACCTGGGAGTCCAGTGACATAGCCATTATGCCAACTGCTGGTCCCAACTCTCTACAATTTATTAAATGTTCTAAAAATTATGTAGTGTATCCCTCGGGATATTTTATATACAAGAATCTGTCATTTGAAAATGGAGGCATTCTCTCCAATCCAATAAATTTTGTTTCTTTCTCTTTCCTAATTGTCTTGGCTAGAAGCTCCAACAATAGTTGAATAGAAGTGAAGAGAGCTCTTTTGTCTCTCTTCTCTCTCTCTTTTAATTGGCGAGCAAATGAGCTCACTGGGTGAGGGTGGGGAGCAGAGAAGGAAACTGAGAAAGCTTCTCCCAGGGGAAGTGGCCATGCAATAATTCCTTCTCCTTCATTCTCCTCTTGGGATTTTGGGCACACACACGTCATTAGTTTCCGGGGACATTAGTTTCCGGGGACAGCATGCTTTTCAAGCCACTGGGTTGAACTCGAAACTTGCAGTTGGCCATGTGGGATCCAGCCACCTTAATCATACCATGGCTGACCCCTTTTTGTCTCCTTTTAAAGGTTATATTTGTGTCCATGAAGAGCAAAGAATAACTATCGAATTTAATGTTAAATGAAACATTTGTATATGTTTATTATAGGTTACTTCTCAGTGTGAATATTTGTTTCCCCATCACAGAGTTAGGAAGAAAGTCATTGGTCAAAATGATTGAGATAAAATATTTTATTGGGTCATCTGAAAAGTCATGATGTATTTTTGCATAGGAAAACACACACAAAAATACATCATAACATTGCCAATGACTTACTACTTACTTGTCTTAGACTTCAGTGAGAGAGAGAGAGAAAAATACTGTTTCCTACGTGTATGTCAACTTTCTCACATTATGTTTTGTAATGTGAGACTTCAAAGTAGATCCCTGTCATCTAAAACATTGATAAACACTGAGCTGGACATCTGGAGATGACATAATCACATATTTATAATAAAATTTTTCAGGTTTTTTTTGTTTGTTTCTTTCAGTAAGAGTTTAAATGACCTTTACTCTTTTTATATGTGTCACAGTTGCGAGTGTCCCCGCAAACTAATGACAGATCACAGTAATTATCCTTAAACTCAGTAAATCTATCCTATGCCCATTTTAGGTAGTGGAAATACCTATGTATACCAGTTTACTTTCAGAACTTCACTCTGAAGTCAATTCCTTGACTATGTCAAATGAAATGTACTCTGAAATTGCATTTTTCTCTACAGA